AGAGCTTTGTAGATACTCTGGACTGCAAGAAAGACAAACAAGTGAATTCTAGATCAAATCAAGCCTGATCTTTCTCTGGAATAAAAAAAATGATAAAACTGAAACCTACTTTGGGCACATCATGAGAAGGCAAGATTCTCTAGAAAAGACAATAATGCTGGGAAAAGTTGAAGGCAGCAGAAAAAGAAGAAGACCCAATACAAGATGCTCCCAAAGGCTTGAGTTTGCAAGAGCTGAGCATTATTACTAAGGACAGGACATTTTGGAGCTCATTTATTCATAGTTGGAGGTGATTTGATGGCACCTAGATTAGGCATCCTTCAGTCTTGAGAGACTACTTGCAGATATCCTTGTATCACAGCTGTGGTCTCCCTCTGGGGAGATTTCCCTGCACTAATTCTCCATATAGGAGATCTTTTTGATGGCACCTAACAGCAGCAGCAACAGTCTAGTAGTGTCTTCCATGGCCAAAATCAATTATATCCACTTAAGTAAGATTACATGCCAAGTATATTGTTCCATCCCTCCCAGTGGCACAAATCTCCTTTGATTGCAAAAGGGGGAGATGCTTGTTTGTTCCAAGCTGGTAGTGTTAAAACCTCAGTAAGTGATGCACAGATTCTTTTTCTATAAGCAGTAGACCCTTAAGAAGAAAAGACTATCTGTTTATTCCCACATAATTTGCTTCAATATGAATTTGGCAAATTAGCCTTGCTTTTGGTAAGGCTAATTCGTTACCAATTTGCTAAGACAGGCCCAAAATTCCTATCAGGCCCCAAAGCGACCACAGAAGCTACACCGAACCCAGGGTGGGCAGTGGGTTGCCTTTTGCAAAAGTGGGCTAGCTGGGGGCGGGCAGGCTTAAAAAATCCCTTTGCATAGTCCCACCCCCAGCCTTGCCACATGTGCCTTTAGGCATCCTCATCTGCCCATCTCTTTCTGAGAGGCGTGGGCAAAGAGTCTCCACAGTGCAGGTAAGCATTGTTTGCATCTTTAATATCTCAGGCACAGAGCACTGGATGATCTGTGTTTCCTAGAAGGATCATACTGTAAGAGGATGAAATACATTCTTGCCTTTAAATTAGAAACAATTAAGCAAGATACGACACTTCAAGGCTCCCTCAACTGGCTATCTTCAGTAAATCCTGAAGATCACATCAAAGGCTTTGAGAACCTAACAGACACTATAATAGCTAGCCTTGGGCAGTTCCCTCAACAATCTCAGAACAGACAGGCCCCAGACATGTGTCCTAGGCTAGACAAGGAATGTCTTGCTCTGAAGCTGGATATGGGGGGATCTATAATCACTACAGAACCTCAGGGGCCTCCAGGCTGCCTTTACAGTATTTTGTGCTGGAAAACCACCTCAGAATAGCCATTAAGAAGCTGCATCACCATTTCATTCTGGACTGCTGGTCTCATTTAGCCCAGGCTATTAATACAGATGGTCTCATTTAGCCCAGGCTATCAATACAGACAACAACAACAAATTTTGGGAGATGGTTTCAGGTTCTTCCATCTTCAATAAGAACTCACAGGACTTTCCCTATATGCCAGCTGGGACATGGGAACAGCACTTCTTGGCCACTTTTTATGATAGATGCAAGTTCACAGTGTCAACTGATCTGCTCCTACCCAGAGATCTCCCGGAATGGTCCCCAGTCACAGCTAGCGAAATTAAAAAGCTCATAGAACACCTTAGAACTGGAAAGGCACCGGGTCCTGATGCCCTTTCTCCGGAGCTGCTAAAGGCTGATCCCGATTGTTGGGCACCTGTTCTTGCTGCTTTATTTACTTCTGTCAATTGATCTGGTATCATGCCCAAAGCATGGATACAGGCCATAGTGATTCCCATCCATAAGAAGGGTGATAAGAAATTCCCTGCAAATTATAGACCAATAAACCTTGTTGACATCACTTAAAAGTTGTACACCAGCTACTTATTCCAAAAATTACAATACTGACTTCTAGACCAAGATATTCTGGGCCCTGAACAAGTGGGTTTTAAGGCAGTAAAGTCTACACTAGACCATTGTATGATCTTATCACATCTGATCTCCAAATACGCTTTACAGCATAACTCTTGTCTGTTTGCAGATTTCTTAGACTTAAAAGGGGCCTTTAATTCCATAGACAGAGATATGGCTAAAGCTCTCCAGGCCGGGCATTGGTAGGAGTTTCCTCTTTTTGATTCAAAATCTCCATGCAGGCTCTACCTATTACATAAAAATATCTACACAGGGGTCCATTTCTAATCAGATTTTCTCCAACAGAGGAGTGAAGCAAGGCTGTGTTCTGGGGCCAACTCTGCTGAACTTATTTATTAATTATCTTGCCCCACTCCTACATCATATTAACGGCCATAGTCCCAAAATAGGCCCTATACAAATTCCGATCCTATTATATGCAGATGACATGGTTCTCCTTTCCCTCACAAGGGTTGGCCTAAAGTGGCTCGTTAGCGGTTGCCATGACTACCTGATACGCAATAAGCTCCAACTAAATTTGGAGAAATCTAAAATTATAGTCTTTGGCAAAGCATGGAAACTCTTTTCTTGGTCTTTCAATGGCAACTCTATCCAGCAGGTCAAAGAGTTTAAGTACTTGGGTGTCTTTCTTCATTACAGACACACTTGGTCAACTCACCAGCAGACAGCGATTAAGACAGCAAAGCTCTCAGCGCAGGCTATCTTACGCTTCCATCGTACTTGCGGCCACTCGTACATCCCTGCGAAACGTTAGGAAGAACAACCTTCAGAACACGGCCAAAGAGCCCGAAAAACCCACAACAACCACTAAAATTATAGTCTTTGGCAAAGCATGGAAACCCTTTTCTTGGTCTTTCAATGGCAACTCTATCCAGCAGGTCAGAGAGTTTAATTGTTTGGGTGTCTTTTTTCATTATAGACATACTTGGTTGACTCACCAAAAGACAGCACTTAAGTCAGCAAAGCTTTCAGCATAGGCTATCTTACACTTCCTTCATACTTGGGGCCACTCGTACATCCCCTCTGTGCTGCAGATTTTTAATGCCAAAGAAGCTGCACAGCTTCTTTATGGTATCCCCATCTGGATGTCTGCATTCCATAGCTCCCTGGAAAGAGTCCAATCAACATTCCTGTATAAAATCTTTGGCCTGCCCCACTGTGTCTCCTATGCAGCCCTATGCCTTGAAGGCAGGCAGCACAGGATTGAGAGCCTGGCTTGGCTCAGATTCTTTAAATAGTGGATCAGAATCTGTTTCTTCTCAGCCCAGGATATCCTATTCCAAGCGCAAGAAAATCAAGACCCTGGGGGTCTTCTGGTTTCAATATCCCCTTCCAAGATATTCCATACAATAAAAAATAGAGTTCTGGATATTGAGGGGCAAACCCTGCATAGTGCTTCACAAAGGGTCTGTTCCCCACTATCAGTTGCCCCTCTCCCATGGCAGAAGACTGAATTACCTCCATCACTTAGAGCATCCACAAGATCGATGAGCATTTACCCTTGCTAGGTGCAACATTGTACCTTCGAACTAAGCACAGGGCAGATATATGGGTTTGCTCATAGAACTGAGAGTCTGCCCTTGTGGTCAGGGAGTGGTTGAATCCTTGCAGCATATGTTGTTTTACTGTATCTTGTATAAGGATATCTCCCTGTGTTATCTGAGCACTTTCCTTTCCTCCCATTCTGGACGATCTGAGAAAAATTCAACACCTCCTAGGTGTTAAGGAACTTACCTTGATAACAATCAGATACATCTACTCCATCATGAAGAGGCGACGCAGCATGCTGTTGCAGAATGTGGAGCCCTAAATATACATTTGGCTGTTCCCTGCCACATGTTAGCTGCTGAATTTTTTATTTGCATTTGAGTGTGTTTTAAATTTTGTACAGTATGCCAATAAAGGTTCCTGTCTGTGTATTTGCGAAGGCTTTCATGGCCAGGATCTAATGGCTGTTGTGGGTTTTTTTGGGTTCTTTGGCTGTGTTCTGAATGTTGTTCTTCCTAACATTTCGCCAGTCTCTGTGGCCAGCATCATCATCAGAGGACAGTAACCTGTGCTCTGGTGTAGTTGGCTTGGGAGTGCAGTATTTATGGCTGTGAGATAGGCTTTTGTCTTTTTCTGTAGATGGGTGATGTGTCGTTGTTTCTGTCTGTCGTTATATGTGATCAGACCCCTAGTTTTTGATTTTAAAGAAATTAAACAGAATTTCTTTTTAATTAGTTCTGAGTGTGGTGTGTGTAAAAATTTCAGTGATGGAGAAAAGCAGTTTGAGGTTGAATGTTGCTAAGTCTTGCTGCACACTCCTCACCGAACTCTTTCCTTCCACCCACCACACTATCTCTAAAGATACCAGCCTGAGTATTTGCTTAGCAATCTTTCACTGTTTTGTTAGAAACAAAGGAGAAAGGTAGCAAGATGCTAAAGTTGCCATGGTTGTTCTTAATTCGGCAGGCTCTTCCAACACTTGGGAAAAGCTAATGTGGGAGATAGAAACAGTCTGTATACTCTATGAACCGCACTTCCTCCAATTATGTCATAGTGCAAATAAATATAAACTCAACAGCAACAGCCCTGGGATAGGTTTTCTCACTACAGATCAGTTAACAATGGCTTTCCTCTCAACCAACCACAATCTCTGTATTTTGATATCTATATTTTGATGTTGTGTATAAATATTTGCCATGTTAAATCTCTTTCTCTTATATCGGATGAAGTGGACTTGTCCATGAAAACTCATTTTAAAAAAATAATAAAAATAAAACTTAGTTTTTAAGGTGCCACCATGTGTTTTTTTAATTTCTATTTTGTTTTTGATAATACTTGCACAGACAAACAGGAGTACCCCCTTCTACAACCCCATATACAGTATTAAGGGGATTTACATTTCTGAAAATATGCAGTTAATCCATGGACAACAGTGGCTCCTGGGAACATATCTGTGTCACAAAGGGGTCATCCATATGGTGTAATGTTCCGGAACTATATTTTATGTGACTTATGAAATGCTTCATGAAATATATGCAATGTCACTAAGTTTTGTGATGGGGGGAAAAACTACTGTAAAGTATAACTAGCAAGCAGTGGCAACAGGAAACCACATAGTAGTATGTGTTAGAAACTTCTCATTCATATTTTTACTTTTTAAATTAATAATTTACTTTCTTGACTTCACCAGTGTCTATCAATCTATTCACAACAATGGAAGAGCAAAGAGAACTCAGCCTGGAAGATGAATTTGAAGCACCGGAAGCCACACATACAGGTAAGGAAGTAATGGCATCTTTGTTCTTAAAGAGCAATGCCCTCTTTTGAGACCTGTTGCCTACATCTGCAGTGCATCAATGTAAGATAGTCTGGTGTAGGGGTTCGAGTGTTGAACTGGGGACATGGTAGATCCTGGTTCAAGTCCTGCCTGAGCCATGAAGTTCAGTGGATGTGGTTGGGCTACTAACTTGCTCTCAACCACATATACTGCCTTAAGCTCACAGCAAAAAAGTGACATGTAAATTTAAATAATAAGTAATAGGACATGAACAATAAAAGCAGATAGTATTATATATGGTTTTCTTAATTGGGTATGTATTTCTTTAATACATACTTTATTCATGACCATAGGATAGTGTAGAGGCCATTCCAAAAGACTGGCCTAGCATTCCAATTGCTGCACAATTTTATTGTGTGTAGGCGAGAACATCAGATGTAATAATGCAGAGTTCTGTCATGAACAAGAGGGATTCTGCCAAGGTATTGACCTCACACCTTAAAAGTAAACTAATGGGTATCACACAAAGTCCTTTGTGTTCCCTCTCTCCATATTCTGTATGGGAAGTTTCTCTCTGTTGGAGATACCTCTAGTAGCACAAAGCCTTATACAAACATGAGTTCTTGACTGACTGTGGCAGGGCGTTGAGTACAGCCCAGGAAAATCATGTGGTGCAAGTGTTCCAAGCCAAAATCTCCTCTTCCCTTCATCTCAGAGAGGGATATACCCAATTTTGCATGAGAAGAGTTCCATTCTGTATGGGCTTCGTCCTCCTGTCTGATTTCAGGCAATCCTCTCTGCACGCTGTATTTCTGTTTTGACATAGCTTGTGCTGTGTAGGACTGATCCTCTGACTCCCTGGAGAGGCTGAGGTTTGGGGGCAATATTGCAGAGGGGACTGCTGGATGAAGCAGGGAATAGAAATATTGGTTGTACAAGCTGCTTCCCACTTGCATCACCATTGAATACAACCCAGTCAGCACTGCAAGCATTACCAAGTTGCCTTGAGGTTCAAGCAAGATCATATCCTCATTTCAGGATCATATCCTCATTTCAGGGTGTGCCTCCCCTTCCCTGTTTGGACCCACAGGTGTTAGCAAAGAAGCCATCATCCACTGAATCTGACATTCAGTAGATTCTTGAGTTTCTGGGATAAGCTTCAATGGACCTGTAATCCTCTTTATCAATCAATCAATAATTCAAAGAATATGAAATGGCATTTTATTTTTTTTCTAGGACCAAAAGGGGTGATCAATGATTGGAGGAAGTTCAAATTAGAAAGCAAAGACAGAGATGCTCTTCCTCTAAGCAAAAAAGAGATCCTCATCAGGCAAATGTCTTCACCCTACCGTGCTCACAGCAGAGATGATAAAGACACCAGAGAGCGATTCAGTCGTAAGGTAAAGAGTGAAAAATACAATGTACAATTTAAATGATACAAGGGGGCTGTGTACATAGTGGTCTGTGAGCATAGCCTTGCTTCATTGCCCCTGTGTTCAGTGGCCCTGATTGCATCATCTGAATCACCTAGTATACATGAGAAAGCATTTACACATGTGTTAATGTATCTAGATGGCTAGATAGCTCAGTGAATTGGATAACCAGTTGGAAGTTTGATTCCCCACTTTGTCCCATGGGAGAAGAGCCAGCCTGTGTGGATTTGGGAAAGCTGCACAGTCCTAGAACACCCCAGAAGAAAAGAATAGTAAACTAGTTCTGAATCTACATCCATCCATCCATCCATCCATCCATCCATCCATCCATCCATCCATCCATCCATCCATCCATCCATCCATCCATCCATCCATCCATCCATACATACATACATACATACATAGGAAGAGAGAAATATATATCTTTCATGCAAGGGAGATCTTAACCTAGTCAAGAATCCTGTTATGTAACTGGACAGTAACAACGCAGTACTTTCTGACACATACCAAATCCATGGAGGGAAGGTGAATGTGGCTGTAGTCAGCGTAGGGCCACGGTCATACATTTTTGAACATATAAGCCCTATATAATTCGAACTTCCCAGAGTCCGGCTGCTAATATGCCCCATGGAATACTTCTTTATTGGCTTTCCAGTTTGAGATTTAAAAGCTAGGCCTGACAATCCTGAAGAAAAAGAGAACCATAAAAAGTCAGGTCAGAAATGGCACCCATCACCACATTCTGGTTAACTAATCTGTGAAGATTTTTAAAACATGGTATAGTCCAAATGTGACATATTTATTTTTGTGAAGGATTCACAAGACTGATACTTCCTGCTTGCTGCAAAAGGGCAGATTATATTTCATTCTTCAGATAAAGGTAATTACAAATACCGTATTATCCATTTGTGCACTAATATTTATTTTGTCTCTCCTGATTTTTCTATATGCTTACTTAGTATTTATTCATATTTTTACCAGAACATTCATAGACCGGGAAATCCTTTCCTAAAATTGCTCTTGTCATTGAGAGAATAGCTTCCAATATTGCAATGGTCAACAAACATTAAAAACAATACCATTACGACTAAAGAAGCAAAGTCCAAATGCTTCTCTCCTATTCTCCCTTGTCAAGGAGGAACTGTGGGGAATCAAACTCCCAACCTCTGGCTCCACAGCTAGAGGTCTGAACCACTGAGCTATCTGGTAGTCCTTTTGCTCCATAGGACTGCATTAAGTCTTTCATTCTGTGTTTAACAGGTAGACCAAATGTGTTTAGTGACTAAATGTCTTCTTCCAAATGATTGCAGATGAGTATGCAGGAATATGAGCTAATTAATGATGATAAAGAAGATGAAAATTGCCTACAGAAGTACCGCAAGCGCTGTATGCAGGACATGCACCAGCGACTGAGCTTTGGGCCAAAATACGGCTACCTTGCAGAGCTGCAGAGTGGGGAACAGTTCCTTGAAGCTGTTGAGAAGGAACGGAAAACCACCACCGTCATTGTACACATTTATGAAGACGAGGTGAAGGGCTGTGAGGCACTCAACAGCAGCCTGACTTGCCTTGCTGCCGAATACTCCACAGTGAAATTTTGCAAGATCAAGGCCTCTAACACGGGAGCTGGAGAACGCTTCTCCACTGATGTTCTCCCAACTCTTCTGGTCTACAGAGCTGGTGAGCTAGTGAGTAATTTCATTAGTGTGACTGAGCATTTCAGTGAAGAGTTTTTTGCTGGGGATGTGGAAATGTTCTTAAACGAGTATGGGCTGTTACCTGAAAAAGATGTTCCAGGACTAGGGAATGGCAACCTGGAGGAGCAGGAAGTTGAGTAGTTGACAACATACTTCAGTATCTCCTACATCACCTCAGTACATATTGCAACTGGATCTCACCTTGGCCTATGATCATTTAGCAAATGCTGACATGTACTTCTGCTATATATGCAAACAGTGCACATATCTGATGTAATAAAATAAATGAATTGCCTGGCAGAGCAATCCTAGACATGCTTATGAGTAAGCCCAAATACATTCTGTAGGATTTATCCCCAGGAGAATGTGTAAAAGATTGCAAACTAAAGTACCATATTTTTCCGTGTCTAAGACTCCTCCCCCACCCACTTTTCTAACCCAAAATTAAGACATCTAAGTGGGGCTTAGCAACTGGGGGGGAAAGCAGGGATCAAAGCCCTGCAGGATCACTTTGATCCCTGCTTTCCCCTCCACTTCTTTTTGTTCTCTCCTCAGCTTACTTCCATGTATAAGACCACCCTCATTTTTTAGTCTAATGATTTTAGTCAAAAGTATAGTCTTATACAGTACATGGAAAAATACGGTATATAATGAGCTGCTTCTATACATATCAATTTATATTATACCTTATATTTAACCCTTATATTATTATACAGTGGTGCCTCGCTAGACGATGATAATCCATTCCACTGAAATCGCTGTTTAGCTAAATCATTGTCTAACGAAAAGCATTTCCCCACTGGAATGCATTAAAACCTGTTTAATACATTCCAATGGGGAAGAATCGTCATTGTCTAGCAAAGATCGCCCATAGGAAAGCCGGTTTGCGAGCCGCCAATAAGCTGTTTAAATCAGTCTTGCAAACCTTAGTCCCGAAAACCCCTGTTTTGCGACCACAGAGGGAGCTGTCAAAATCGTTGTTTAGCGAGAGTTGGCTTGCGAAGCAGGGACCAAGCAGTGTCCAGCAAAATCCTCCCATAGGAATCACTGTTTTGCAAATCACTATAGCAATCACAAAAAGTCAATGCCTAGTGAAAAAACTGTCATGCGGTTTAACTGTCTAGAGAGGCATCACTGTATTATTATATTATTATAAGGGTTAAAAGGAAAGTGCAGATAATTCAATAAAATTAATGAGTGTATGCATATATACACACAGAAGTGCACAAATACATGCATGCACAGGGCCCAGTCTGAGGCACTTAGCTGCAGCTTTTGTTTTTCTTTTTGTTTCCATGTCTAGAAAATGCTAGCAAACAAGCAGGGCAGGAGGAGAAATGCAGGTGATGCACCTCTATACAATCTGCAAGTTGGAAAGTTTTCAGAGAGCAAGATGGCCTGGATGGTGTGGCAATAGGGTTAATGACAGTCCGATAGAATGGCAGAAGGAATGGAAGGCACAATTGCTTTAGGCCTCAAGATAAGCCAATGAATTGGCATGGTGCCCCCACCTGCAGAACTGGAATGAGTTTCTAGGGCTGTATCACCAGCAGCTAATTGGTGAATAACTGGGAAGGCTTAGAACAGGACTTGGAATCTGAAACCTGCCAGGCATTGTAGGGCTGCATCTCTCATCATTACTCACTACTATGATGACTAGCTGAGCAGCAGTTGACTGGACTGCACTTAAGTGCTATATAGATGGGAAAATAGCTTTAAAATATAGATACCCACTGTGTTAGACACAATAGGCATATAGCTATTAAAATAGAGGTGGACAACAACTCCCACGAAGGATTAACATCTAATTTTTTTCCAGAGTTTCAAATTCCTAAAAGACTACATCTGAGTCTGCCCTTCATTTTTCTGCTTTGTTTAAACCAACTAGCATTTATATCCCACTTAAATGTCCCACTCATTAGTTAAAAATAATTACATAAAAATAGCTTAGCTACTAGGTCTTCTGCCTAGAAATTACTATTATTACTAACAGCTAATCAGGGAAATAATATTTGCAAGTCACATAGAAATGAAAGAACATGTTTTTTATCTTGAATCATTGTGAACTTCTGTGAACTTCTTGAACTTCTGGTTGGAAAAGGTACCAAAAATTTACTCATGTATTTAAATGTATTTCTTTATTGAATACTATTGTGTAATATGGCAAGATACATTAAACATTAATGTTTGCTGAAAATGTATATTAAACCTTTATATTTTGTAATAGTGTAATTAATAAACAATAGCCAAAAAGCATATTTTAAAAGGAGCTGATATTTTATTAAAAGAATATACAAGGGTAACTTAAAACTCCATATTTGGAATACTTCAAAATTCTTCCAGATATTTAGTTTATTCATTTGTTTTCTGTAGCCCTTGCCCAAGTAGTGTGACAGGGGTAGATCATTTAAAACATTAAGCTGTAGAGATTTCTTTACAGGAAGGTCGATAAGCCAAAGAAGTCTCACTAAACAATAAGCCAAAGAAGTCTCACTAAAAAATTCAGTAAATAATAGGACAGTCCTTGCGCTTAGGCTAGCAGTCTAAGGTGTAAACCAGCTGGAGAATTTGCTCTCCTTTTAAGTATCAGAATTTGAGTTGGTCTTAATGGAAACTTCCCCTACATCCAGACAACATTCCTCTTAACTTGCTCTGCACTGTTTTCCCCTGTGACTTCCTGCTTTTTTTTTTTTTGACTGCTGCAAGACCCTTGGTTTTATACCACTTTATGGTGCCAATTTGGACTAGGGAAGTATTTTAACACGATTGTAAACATTAACAGTAAGTTATGAGCATCAGCTGGAGAAGGAAAACTCTGACTTCAAACCTCCATTGCCTTGTGGCTATATCCACTGATGGAAAAGGCTTCAGGAGTTAACCTTGAGGCAAAATCCGGAGCCGAAGTCCTGGAGGCGGTTTGTGTCGTTCTGTCAACTCCTGCAACATGGCTGGAACCAGTTGTATTGGCTCTTGCCTTTCCATTGGACTATTTCAGCGACGTGGAGAGGGGGGATTTGCTGGTTGGGGAACAGCCTATCCTCCATATTATTTTGCCCTGGCTTTGTGCCCTGGAGAGGACACTCCAGCTTCACATGCATCATCAAAACACTAGATGCTGTTCCAAGTCCTCCATACAGAGCACGTTACCATAGTCTCTCGAGACTGAAGGATGCCTATGATGAGCATCAGCCACCAAAGTCTTATCAATATTATTATAGTCCTTGGACTGGCAATTGTGGTTAAAATCCAACAGGTTCCAGATTTGTTGTTTACAAGTCCAGCTTTCTCCACACAGTGCTGCCACCTTGAAGTGGGAAGCCCACCCGGGGGGCAGGCTTGTTATGAGTATGTGGCATGGGATTGGAAGAATGGGATCCACCCCTGGCTGAATTGTGGCAACTCAATCTTGTCTCTCACTGGCAGCACTGATTTCCATGTTAAAGTTCAACCTGAAGTGGTCCCTTTTTGCCTCACTTGGCTCACTAAGTCCATCTCATCCTTGCTCTAGCATAGGACAGAGGCACTCTGCTGCTAGATCTCTTTACATCCTGTGTCATCCTGTCACCAAGCAAAAGAAAAAGCAAATGGACATTAATGAGCAACCTTAAAAGGCATGAAATCAAAGGGAAAGGGGTTGGAAGGAAGAGAGATGAGCCCTGCCACAAAGCTGCTATAATGACTAGACAAAGTGGGAAATATGCAGGAAAATGGGAAGCAACAGGTTTTGGTCTTTAAACTGAGCCAATAGGCTAACTGTTCTTCCTTTCTCTTCTTTCCATGATGGAACCTACCAAGTGACAGCAAAGGGAAGAAAAAGGCTCATGGATATAGTTTCTCATTGCACACAATGTTGTCTCTGCCTCCCTGTGCTATATTGGCAATTTATTCACTCAGCAATGTTCATGGGTGAATTTAGCAAGATTTGGTGCCATTTGACATAAGGAGGTGCTGCATTACAGCTCAATATTTATTGTACGTTACACTTCCTAGATGAAACATGAAGCTGACTCTGTCTGACTCAATTCCCCAAATGTAAAGCGTGAAGTGAAAATCAGCACTAATGGGATCAGTATGAATCACAGCCCCTGCATGTGTATAGTACATGGGCTGAATATCTACTCCTAAAAACGAAACAAAACAAAAACACACACCTTATGGGCACATCCCATTGCAGATGGTTAATAGGATGAGTAAAGTGCTGTAAAGGCTGGTTGATGGTTAAGAACAGTAAAGCATAAATTTTGCTTAAGCACATCCCACCTTTTCCAAGAAAACTTGGCATGGTTTCACAGTCTAATAATGAGTGTCTATGAGGCATAGTTAATTGAGGCAGCCATTCAAACATGCAGAAACATGATTTCCCAGGAAAAAATCATGAAATTAAAATGAATCTAAAATCTACATGGTGCCAAACCTTCACATCTGACTGCTCTCAATATAGTGGCATATGATGAAATAAAATTACATTAGGCCTTTGATCACAGCACTCACCAGGATTCCTGCCAGCAGAAAGCAAGATGCTATGACTGTCCAACAATATATCACATAGCAAGATTCTCTTTTGCTCCAGGGAAACATATGATGAAAATCTAATAACCTCCATTAATCATTCAGATCAGGAAGATCCTTAATTTTCCGTAACTTATCCTGTTTTTGTTAATCACAGGGAAGTTCTATTCCATTACACCTTGAAGCCTCACACTTTAAGGCCTTATTCAAGCATTAAATGGATTAAACCCTATCTCCAGGTCCCTGTCCTACCTCAAAGTCTCTCACACTGTCACATGTTTAATATGAAGGTCTGCAAAAGAGTCATAAGGACATTCAGCTGAATGAATGTACAGCAGTTAAGCGATCAGGAGCCTGTACAAGGTAAATCATGTGATTGCTGTCAATTCAGCCGAAAGCACTTCTAAGGTCCTTCATGAAGGACTGAGAGACTTCAGTATGAGGAGGGGACATACCAATATCCTCATGTCCCTACCATACATGGAGCCCTACAGGATTTCAGGCTTATTGCCTGAATAAATTAATTGCCAGTTCAGGCTTAATGGCTAACACCAGGCTTACAGTAAGGCCTCAATAGGACTTAAATTCTTGAAATCAGAGTCATTTTATTTGGTGTGGCACAGGCGGTCTTTGGACATCTTCGTAACATGCAAAAGCAGGAGAAGCTGAGATGGATGCCATGCTCACCTGAGCCCACTGAAATGGTTTCACATTTGGGATTAAGAGGTGGGAAATTGTACTGAGTTTGACTGTTTGAAGGTCAAAAGGTCAACAGGCATATGGATGCGGGCGAACCAGTGGATACTGTCTATCTGAATTTTCAGAAGGGGTTTGACATGTTCCTTCACCAAAGGCTGCTGAGAAAACTCCAGTCAGGGGATAAGAGGACAGGTCCTCTTATGGATTG